TGATCGACTACATCCAGAAGGAACATGGCACATGAAGAAGAAAAATGAGCTTGAGTAAATGGATGGTGGAACAGGGTTTAGAAGAGATAACAGAAAGACCATATTTAACTACAAAGGATAGGAAATGGTGGAGAGCCATAAGCGTCTTCATCCAGAAGGAACATGGCACATATAAAAAGAAAAAAAAATATGCTTGAGTAAATGGATGGCAGAACAGGGTTTAGAAGAGATAACAAATAGACAAAAGTTATTAAGAGTTACAAAGGACAGGAAATAGTGGAGAGCCATGATCGCCTACATCCAGAAGGAACATGGCACATGAAGAAGAAAAATGAGCTTGAGTAAATGGATGGTGGAACAGGGTTTAGGAGAGATAACAAAAAGACCATATCTAACTACAAAGGATAGGAAATGGTGGAGAGCCATGAGCGTCTTCATCCAGAAGGAACATGGCACATATAAAAAGAAAAAAAAATATGTGCCTGAGTAAATGGATGGCAGTACAGGGTTTAAGAGAGATAACAAAAAGACAAAATTTACTAAGCGCTACAAAGGACAGGAAATAGTGGAGAGCCATGATCGCCTACATCCAGAAGGAACATGGCACATGAAGAAGAAAAATGAGCTTGAGTAAATGGATGGTGGAACAGGGTTTAGGAGAGATAACAAAAAGACCATATTTAATTACAAAGGATAGGAAATGGTGGAGAGCTATGAGCGTCTTCATCCTGAAGAAACATGGCACATTTAAAAAGAAAAAAGAAATGCTTGAGTAAATGGATAGCAGAACAGGGTTTAGGAGAAATAACAAAAATACAAAATTTACTAAGAGCTACAAAGGACAGGAAATTGTGGAGAGCCATATTCGTCAACGTCCTGAATGGACACGGCACATAGAAGAAGACAATGCAAGGTTATAAGTGAAGTGGGGGGTCAAGATAGAAAGGATAACCTTGCAACCCAATCCGATTCAGTAATATTTAAAGTTTGTTCCCCAAGAAATAGGACACATAATGGAACAGTGAACGACATCAGTTCCATGTGAAAACCTGAATAATGGTTCCGAGTCACCAAGAATCCCTGAGCGCGAAGTACAGCACTCGGGGACAAAAATTTGGGAAGAAGTGTTTTTACTGAGTTTCGCTTTGCGGTGGTGCCCACCTCATTACGTATATAAAAAGTACTTTGCCCTCGTGTCAAATATATGTTTGTGAGGTTGCAATGACATGCCTAAGCAATCAACCTATTGAAACTGTGACTCTGTTTTCAACCACTTCATTCTCAGAGTCAAGTGCTTTTAAAACAGATAAAATGATTTCAAACACTTTGTAAAGAAGGTCTGTACATGCAAGTTTTTTTTTTTTGCTTCTATAAAAAACATTTTAGATTTGTTTTTTTGTTTTTCGTAACGTCTTCTATTTGAAATTTCGCTTTCCAAAATCTGATCAATTTAATCAGCATTAATCAGTAAGGCGATAACGTCACTAAGATGCAAGGAGAGTAGCGTTACTGGAAGTGAATGAGAAGGAATAGTATTTAGAAGGAAGCGGGAACTCAGTTTAGATTTCAGAGTTTAGGAGGAGACGTTAGAAATATAGAGTGAGAAGAAGAAGGAACCCGGAAACTCAGTACTGAGCAGGAAACAAGGGATAAAGCCTCTACGCATGTTCAAAAGAGTGGGGAGGAGTGTGAACCAAGCGATATATTAGCCTCGCTACACCTCTTGAGAAGAGAAAAAGTAAATAAATACTAAATAAAAGTTTTAGGCAGAGAGTTTGAAAGATAAAGTTAAAATAGAATTTAGAACGAACCAGAAACCCAATCCTGGATACGAGACAAGAGATACGGTTCAACTCCTGTTCAAAGATTGGAGGAGTGTAGATAGGACTATAGGTGAACACACACATGCACACACACACACACAAATACGCACACACACACACACACACACACATAAACATATATATATATATATATATATATATATATATATATATATATTTATAAATGTATTTGCATTGATAAGTCCAGGGAAAAATTACTTTCCTCATGGACGAAATGATCATCTGTATGAGGTAAATTGTTTGGATCTCATTAATTGTAATTCACTTATATGCTCTATAATAAAAATTATATTGATCTCTCTTTTGTGGATCTGTTTTAATATTTTATATTAATAGGATCTACTTGGATTACTTACGCAGGGAATTTTTTTTAACTATTTATATATGAAATGTATCTTTATGCATTAGACATCCGACAACATTCATATTTCTCTTACTTAAACCCCTTCCACTCACCTCTCCTAAAATTCTCTCTGTTAAGGTTTAATCTCCCCATTCTCTAGTATGTTACCCCTCATACTTACACTCTCTCTAAATTCTGTTTTTATTTCCAGAGTTGTTTTTTCTGTTTTCCTTTTGAATTTGTAGGTCTGATGAATTGGATCGTATTTACGATTCCAATGGAATAAATTATGACCATGGAATATTAGTGTTTAAGCCTTTTTATTATATCCTTACTCTTTCCTGGACATTGAGTTCTACCTGGATTCTTCCTCTTGGAATTTTTATTCAAAAAATATACATGTATAGGTATTTATATATTTTGCATATGTATGTATATTTACCACTAATATTCTCTCTCTCTCTCTCTCTCTCTCTCTCTCTCTATATATATATATATATATATATATATATATATATGTATGGGGAAGAGGTTATAGTTGTTCCAACGAGAGAAAAGTGTAAAAAAAAGTTATACAGAAGGGAGAAACTGCAAACGTTTTTGGTTGTAATGTGAATTTTTAAAAAATATATTACAGCGAAAAACTTTGGCGGTTTCTCTGTTCTTTTTAATATATATATATATATATATATATATATATGATTACTTATCCAGGGATTTATATATAGGATTACTTACCCACGGATTTTTTTTACATGCCCTATATATATATATATATATATATATTGTTTCAACCTTTGGAAATAAAGTGTGATTATCCGCAGTTCTTTAAAAGGGCTGTGGTGAAATAATTTATTACATGGACATGGAACCTTAAAGTGGTCTGTTTTTATTTGAATTATTTGCTCTGGATTTAGATTGAGCTCTCTAGATTTTATCCTCCTTAGGTTTACCCATACGGATTACCTAGCTTCTCATAAACCAACTAACTAACTAACTAACTATATATATATATATATATATATATATATATATATATATAGTTAATGAGATTCAAACAATTTACCTAATGCAGATGATCATTTCGTCCATTGGAAAGTAGTTTTTCCATGGATGAAATGTTCATCTGTATGAGGTAAATTGTTTGGATCGCATTAATTGTAATTCATTTATATATTAAAAGATATATTCAGCTCTCTTTTTGTGGGTCAGTTTTAATATTTTATATTAATATAATCTACTTGGATTAGTTGCCCACGGATTTTTTACCTGTCCTATATATATATATATATATATATATATATATATATATATATGAATAAATATGGTCTTAAGATGTGTTACATTTATGGGATAAAGTGCTCAATATCAGAGATAAAGCGTCTGTAAATATAAAAGTGAACATAAAAGTCAACACTCAGGTGGCTTATATATATATATATATATATATATATATATATATATATATATATATATATATATATATATATATATATATATATAGAGAGAGAGAGAGATAGGTACCTGCAAAGATTAGCTAAAAAATAAGCATCAATGATGAAAAAAAATTCACCAAACTATATTATTAAGAGGAACGTCCAAAAGATTTTTGATTATTAAATCATATTTTTTAATCCTTTTTACAACTTGCAAAATTATGGTTAAGTGTTTTTTTCTTCCGTCAACGGGTGACCATAAATTGGTATAGGAAATTTTAGCGTATTTTTGCGGTAAAAAACACAGTGACTGAAAATTCTTGCAAAAATCAAATAAATGTCGGATTTTAATGTAACTTTAGCAAACGAATATAAAACCGTTTTTGTTTTAGAAAGTCTTGGTAAAAATCTGTTTTTAGTCCCCCCCCCACTACACACTTTAATTTTTTGAAATTTCGTGAAATTCATTTTTACATGGTTCATTATATTAGCGATAAACTATAGAGCTTTGAGAATTTAAATAATCAATTATTTTTTGTAAAAAAAGATTCCCAGTCACAGAAAATGTATTCTGAATTGTAAAAAAAAACAAAAAACAATAAGAGTAAGTAATTATTTAATTAGAAAAAAAAACAAAAAAACAAATCCTAATTGCTTTTATGAATAATACATATTATCGACACAATTGTCTTAAGGAATTTTTTTCGATGAATAATGAATTTCTGCAAGAATCATTTTCATTTTTTAAATTCCAATTAAAAAATATGCAAAGTTTAAAATCTTTTAAAATTCTGTATTAATTTGTACCGGCTAGGTGTTATTGCTATTAAGTAAAAACTATATTTACTAATCATAATTAGAAAAGCTTATTACAATTAAGCGACCCCCAATATTTTAAAAATAGCTAAAATTCAATAAAACATTAGATTATTAAGATTTTCTTCGTTTTTAAAGATTACAGAGTAGTTAATAATTATATTTAAAGGTGCTTACGTTATATTTGTCAAGTCATTTTTACAGATATGGCCCCCATAGGAAAAATTAGTTAAATATTAAACAAGCTATATATATATATATATATATATATATATATATATATATATATATATGGGTAAAATGATTCATAAATTTTTATACATCAAGAGAATTTTATGAAAAACTATGACAAAATTGCCATGATTTTGATTTGAAAAATGCTTCTTTAATTAAAAGCGAAAGTGAATTATTTTGAAGATAGAAATCTCCCCGACAAAAATGGCCATGGTGAGGTTCGAACACACGACTCATGGTAAGAAAACGAAAATTCTAACCATATATATATATATATATATATATATATATATATATATATATATATATGCATGCGCGTATAACGGAATGGTTAGCATGTTCGTTAATGACATAATTTAGCTCTTGAAAATATATTTCAATTGAGCACTGTTGAGTGATAAGCTAATTCTATAAACAACAGCCGCCTGCGTTAATGCAAAGCTCTTCAGTAAAATGAATTGGAGCACTCCGGCTGATTGGCATTTGTTTACATTCGTAAAAACAATACGCTAGATTTAGTTGTTTCTCTCTGTCGAATGAAGATAGCTCAGTGGTCGAAACTCTGACTGATCGTTCGGGTTTCGATCCGGGCTCGAAGTGTTCGGGTGTCTAGTCGCAATGAGGAGCCGCGATACAGCGAAACAGTACTGCCTGCGAATGACATAATATATATATATATATATATATATATATATGTGAGAGAGAGAGAGAGAGAGAGAGAGAGAGAGAGAGAGAGAAGAGAGAGAGAGAGAGAAAATTGCTAAGTCTGCTTCTAGGAAAGGTTGTTCACTGTGTCGTACTAATATGGTCTCAACTTTAAACTTCACATAGAAGTCTGGCGGGTCTAGCGACTCAAATATGCTGACAAAGACAATGAAGAGGTTAATGTAGAATAGTAAGAAATTTTCATCCAGAAGGTAGGCTGAAGAGTATATCAACCAAAACGTTGTGATAAATAAAACAAATTTACAGAAAATCGCCCTGGAAGAAATCATTGCATTATAATCTCTATCATTTGTTTGTATATATTCTTAATATAAATCTGGTTGAAGATCAATAAAAATTCTTTATTAATGATTTTTTTTTAAAATTCTCTATTCCGAACCATTCCACTGATTTCCGGTGGAAGCATTTTTTTTTAAGCTTCTCACCCCAAACAAAGCGGGAGTGTAACTATCATGCATAGGCTTAGAGAGAGTGGGAGAAAGAGGCATTACAGAGGAAATGATGAAGAGAAGGACAGGGAATAGATCAAAGCATCTGGAGATGTTTATTGACATTGCATTTGAATAGTTTCATGATTATAGCCATCAGGGAAGCAAGTAAGAGGAAGGGAGTTGCACAGACGGGAAGTGCAGGACATGAAACAATTGGAGTAAAAGAGACGGCCACATTTAACCGTTTCGACAGTGAAAGGGTGGAATTAGGATGCCACCCTAATAGCACGTTTAAATTCATGCAGTTTGGGAACTAGCTCTTGCTATATATATTTAGAGATTATTGATAAAATCCAAAGAGTAATCTGCAATGTTAATGGAGCTGAATTAGAATCTAACTTGCATATTCATATATCTAACATTTGTCCACGCTTCGAATATTACTGCCATATCACTCGAATTAAAAAATAAAAATCTAGTTTCAGAAGTGTGGTATACTATATTTGTGTTATTGGCACGGATTTCTCATGTTTTGTTGTGTTGATTGGTGATATGAGATTTTCATTAAACTATTATTGCATACTTGACACATTAATCGGTGCGATAATGTAGTGGTTGTATAACCAGTTTATTTGTTGTTTGAAATATTATCCCTATATAAATATTCTTCAAGTGGACAAGCTAATTACAGAGTCAGCATTGTTTTGTTGAAATTTTGATATTTTAGTGTATCATAGTAGACGTAGATAAGAATGAATTATAGCATTGAGTACAGACGAAAAAAAAAATAGACATAAATTCTGAAATAAATATCTAACATAATTCCTCATGTATAATATTAGTATCATATTGTAGGTTTTTAGTTGTTTTTTTAATACCGTAATTCCCCATGCATAATACGCCTTAATCCATAATACGAACCCCTAAATTTGTGCTGAAAGTGTAGGAAAATGCTTCTCCTAACGCATAATACGCACCCCTTGTTTAGTAGCCAAACCCTATAAATTGTATCTCTCCAATTTTATTAAGGCCATCGTATCCTACTCTCATTAAAAATGGTTTTAAACATAGAATAATATTATTCTAATTTAGTTTTATGATAATTCTTATTTTATTTTACATTTGTAAATATTGTTAGGTACATATGATTGTATTTGACATCTTTATGGGGTCGCAATCGCCGAATGTTAGTGTCAAATTGTCGTATGTTTGTGGTGAGTAGTCATTTCACAAATGAAATCGACCGATGAAACGGTAATTTTTCAAAGATTTTTTTATAGCTGTGCATAATACGCATCCCTAATTTTTCTTATTATTTTTTTTAGAAAAATGCGTATTATACATGAGGAATTATGGTAGATATTTATTTCAGAATTTATGTCTATTTTTTTTTTCGTCTGTACTCAATGCTATAATTCATTCTTATCTACGTCTACTAAATACTTTTACTTTCAAAGAATAATTCCTTTTTCTTTCTTCTTCAATAGTTAAGCAACATCGAGCCTAGTCAATACCAAGATGGATGACCACTTGGGAATTCCAGGTGCTGTAAGCTTGGATGTGCAAGTGGTATGATAGATAACGCCTCGGAATTGGAGATCGAAGAGCCGAGTTCGAATTCCAGTCGGGTTCGTTATAATCATTTTTGTGTAAATACCCTTTGGAAAGATACGAATCCACTTCTTCTCCCCCAGCCATGGGTTAATTAGTAGAACTTGTATAACTAAAATCATTATTATCTCAAAAAAAAAAAATTACAATCTAAAGATATTCTCTGGCTTTAAATAATCTGAAAAGGGTTGATAAACCGTAAAAAACAAATTAACCTTCCTTTCTTTTTTTCTTTCTCCACCGATGTATCAATATGTTCGACGAATCAGATAATAGCTGAAATTTTATTTAAACTATTCGATTAATATTCACCATTGGATTGAGTGCATGGCCAGAGGAGGAAATTATGTTGAAAATAAATGTTTAATGGATAAGATAATTTTTTTTTACATTATTAAGTAGTGGCTAACGACCATATGACATTGAAACATGGCTTTCAGTACGATTACAGAATTTAAGCAACTTCTGGCTTGTACCTACATAGATGACCGCTTGGTAATATCAGGTGCTGCAAGCTTGGGTGTGTGGATGGTGTAATGGATAATGGCTTGTTGTTGTTAATCGGAGAGCCGAGTTCCAGTTCCAGTCGGGTTCGTTATAGCCTCTTACAATTGGAAAGTTATGTATCCACATCTATGGATGTTATGGGACTTTACCCATAATAACATAATGGACTATTCCATACGTAATAAATACTGCGCCTCAAGAGGAAGCAGGGAGTTCAGTCCGAAGTCGGGCGACCGGCTGACCGGCTGATCGGTTGAACTCTCTGCCTTCGGGCGGGGAGGAACCCGAACGAGGATACGCCGAAGGGCGGAGTCTCTTTCGTGGAGGTAAACCGACCCTGAACCCATGTATACAGGTTCAAAGGGTACATTTTTGGCCGAGACACACGGGCTCGGAGATCCCACGTTAAAAAGGCCTTGTGCCACATGACGCCCTCGTGGGAGGGTGGCTGAATATCGTTCAGTCCGAAGTCGGGCGACTGGCTGATCGGCTGATCGGTTGAACTCTCTGCCTTCGGGCGGGGAGGAACCCGAAAGAGGCTACGCCGAAGGGCGGATTCTCTTTCGGGGAGGTAAACCGACCCTGAACCCGTTTATACAGGTTCAATTGGCATATTTTTGACCGAACCCACGGGCTCGGAGTTCCCACGTTAAACCGGCCTTGTGCCACATGATGCCCACGTGTGTGTGTGGGGGGGGTGACTAAATACTGTTCAGTCTAAATTCTGGAGTGAAGTCAGTCAGGAGTCTGTCAGTTAGTCAGAGCGAACGAGTCAGGCAGTCGAGTCAGAGGCAGTCCGAAACAGAGTCGCGTATAAGACATTGGAATAGTGATACTGGTCGAGACTACATTGTTCTTTTTACTAAACCTGATTGTTCATACTAATACTAACTCTTCTACTTCTCTGTATATATTCCTGTTTATAATATATCTGTGTTATTCCATCTCCGTGTTCGAGTTCTTTATTGGTTCTACCGTGGTACAAAGAACCGGACTATAACAATGCGTTAATTAGTAAGACTTGTATCACTAAATCATTATTATTTTCCAAAATAATAAAAAAAAACCCTACAATCTAAGACTATTTCCTGGTTTTAAGTAACATTGCAAAAGGTTGATAAACGGGAGAAAACGAATTCCTTTTTTTTAATTTTTAAAGTTTAATTCTTTTTCGATTTCTTTTCTTTCTATTTTCCGTTGTTTTCCTCTTTCTCTTTTTCACTTTTTTTTACTCTTTTTCTTCTCATTTTTTTTTCATTTTCTTTTTTAGTTGATTACGTCTTTGTTCGTTTCCCTCTCATTTAGCCATACCGACTTTTCTCTCATATTCCCTTTTCTTCTTGTTTTCTATTTTTTTCTCCTTCTTTCATTTTTTCCATTTCTTCTTTACTTCACTGTTTTTTCTCCTTGTCACGCTTTTCTCTTTTCTTCTCTTCTTTTACTTCTTTTTTTCCGTCTTCTTTGTTCTCTTCCCTCCTCTTATTCATTTACTCTTCATCTTCTTAATTTTTGCATGTCTTTTTTATTTTCTCATCTTTCTTCATTTCCTTCTCTCTCATTTTATCTTGTTTTTTTTCTTTTTACTCATTCTTTCCTTTTCTTCTTTTATCTTATATTCTTTGTCCCTTTTCTTTCCTCATTTTCTATTTTCTTTCCTTTCTTATTTTTGCTTCACTTTTTTATTTTCTCTTCGTTTTCTCTTTCATTCTCTCTTATTTTTCTTCTTCTTTTTGCTTCTTTGTTCATTGTCTTCATTCTCATCTTCTTTTTCATTTTCTTTTTATTCTTTCTTCCATTCCTTCTCTCTCATTTTTTCTTTTCTTCCTCTTCTATTTTCTAGTTTTTGTTCTTTTACAACACTCTCATGTTCTTTCGTCGCCATTTTGATGAATCTTCCATACCTTATTCTGCGAACAAATTTAACCACATCCAAAATCTGAGGAACATATGAACCTGATCCAATATCCCCTGAGATGAGACGTTTCCCATTTTTGGTCAGCTAGGAATTTACAAGCACATTTTCCGTTAAAATTCCTGCAGAGAAATTCGGAAGTATTATATTTCATTTGTTGGAAGTAATTTATTTCCACATTGAAGTAAAACCTGTTTGTACAAACGATAGAGAACTTATTTTTCATAATATATATATATATATATATATATATATATATATATATATATATATATATATATATATATAATATATTATAGGTAATTGGGGATTAAGGGAAGTAAGATAAGAAGGAACTGGCCCTCCCAGATCTAATCAAACGAAGTGACGAGAAAGAGCTGTTTTCTTTCATCTTCCATTTCTTAATCTATCAGTGACATTTACATCCGGCTAATGGAGTACTGGCACTTGGCCTGAAGATCGCATTGAGGCATGAAACTGACAGTCATCACGTAGTCTTGATTGCTATGTCTACACTATCTATCTATCTATCTATCTATCTATCTATCTATCTATCTATCTCAGTCTGTTCATATCATTCATCTATCTATCTATCTATCTATCTATCTATCTATCCTAGTCTGTTCTCATGTTCCTCTCAATCTTTTCTCTCTCTCTCTCTCTCTCTATCTATCTATCTCAGTCTGTTCATATCTATCTATCTATCTATCTATCTATCTATCTATCTATCTATCCCAGTCTGTTCTCAGGTTCCTCTCAATCTTTCTCTCTCTCTCTCTCTCTCTCTCTCTATCTATCTATCTATCTCAGTCTGTTCATATCTATCTATCTATCTATCTATCTATCTATCTATCCCAGTCTGTTCTCATGTTCCTCTCAATCTTTCTCTCTCTCTCTCTCTCTCTATCTATCTATCTATTTCAGTCTGTTCATATCTATCTATCTATCTATCTATCTATCTATCTATCTATCCCAGTCTGTTCTCATGTTCCTCTCCAATCTTTCTCTCTCTCTCTCTCTCTATCTATCTATCTATTTCAGTCTGTTCATATTCATCTATCTATCTATCTATCTATCTATCTATCTATCTCAGTCTGATCATATCTATCTATCTATCTATCTATCTATCTATCTATCTATCTATCTATCTATCTATCTATCCCAGTCTGTTCTCATGTTCCTCTCTCTCTCTTCTCTCTCTCTCTCTCTCTCTCTCTCTCTATCTATCTATCTATCTATCTATCTATTTCAGTCTGTTCATATCTATCTATCTATCTATCTATCTCAGTCTGTTCTCATATTCCTATCTATCTATCTATCTATCTATCTATCTATCTATCTATCTATCTAGCTAGCTAGCTAGCTAGCTAGCTAGCTCATTCTGTTCATATCTATCTATCTATATTTCTGCTTTCCGTGGATAATTTTAATATAATTTGTCCGTTACCCACTGATCACTTTCTTCTTCACAAGATCTTATTAAAGATTTTTTGTGTTTCTATGACACTGTCTTTCTCTCTCTCTCTATATATATACATATATGTGTGTATCTGTGTGTGTGTTTCGCCAACGTCGACTGATAATGCATTGCGAATAAGCACTCCTCTCAATAACTATAACAATATTCTAACAAAAGTCGTCAAAACTGCTGCAAAAGAAGTAAAAAACAATCTTAATTTCGTCATCAGGCGAACTGATAAATCTCATATATAATTTTAGACAACGTGGATTATTATAAAAAATACATTGATGACTGATCTAAATTTACTAAATTACATATAAACCCCGCAGTGACTGTAAAAATATCTGCCAATAAACACATAACATCAAAGAATGCCAACGTTGCATCCTTGATTATCAGCAAAATCATTGGAGATTACCAACGAGGAAAACCAATGCGGAAATATAACAATACATAAACCCGGATATCCATTACGACCAATCATTTCACAGATCCCAACTCTTATATACCATTTGTCAAAATTCCTTATCATTGTTCTATATCTACCTACCAAATATAGCATCACTTCAGTTCCACCAAGTCTTTGAAACTACACAACCAAACCAAGGCATTTTAGCGTCATTTGACGTAGAAAATTTATTTATAAACGTCACATTTACTACTGCGTTTTACAAAAAAAAAACACTATTAGAAAATCATTTTGTTCCTACTTAGATATAGAATAAGCATTATAAAAAAATTCCTGAAGAGCGCGCACGAGAATTCATCCCCTTTTTCTTAAAGAATTCAATGACAAACGGACGCTAATTAACAACGGTTTTCCGAACTACCTCAACGGTCACCAGATGAGACGATTCCTTTCTAAAGTAGCTAATAGCAATACTGAACATACAGATAAAAACAAGAACATTAACATCTTCTATAAAAGTCAAATACACTTTAACTGTAAGCAAGATGAAGTTTCTTTTAGAAGCATAGTAAAGAAATACACAATCACAGTCGACCAGAACAAAAAATGAAATGATCTACTATAAGAAATTTAAAACAGCTAACCATTTCAAAAATACCAACTCACATGATCTAAATGACTGTGAACCAATATTATTTATGAATTCACATGCCTTTTAAGGAACTGCATTCCTGATCAAACCAAATTCATAAGTAATTATATTGGGCATACATGCCTTTCTAGAAGACACACGTTACATCTCTGCGATCACAGCTCAATTAGGACTTATTTAAACACACACGGAAACCTACCAATTTTCATCTGCAACATACTTGTAGAAAGTACAAGGATAATAGCCTCATCCACATGTAAAAAAGACTAAAAATAATGGAAGCACTAATAATAAAAAAAGAAAACGCCAACACTCAATAACATCAACAATGAACACGGTCAAAGTGCGCTGATCGTATTTGGAAAATAATTAATAAAAAAAAAATTCTTATCTCTAGATACATAAAAATCCATACATCCAGTTAAAAATAAAAATAAATCATTCTTGATAATGGCTTTATGAATAACCGAAAACCCTTGGATATCCAGAGCATTTGGACAATTTTTACACATACTTTGCTGCCCGAAATACACAATTGACGTCAACATTCAGCAGTAAAAGTGTGTTTCATACTTTTTCTCTCTCTATATATATATATATATATATATATATATATGATGGAGTCTCTCATCGAGTTCGATGTATGAAGTTCCGACGGCCACGAACTAATTATCTGCATGTCTATGACGGGCATGACTTTTGAGACTGGCTCAAGAATTGCACAAAAGACCACAACCAGTACAGGAGAATTTATTGTATCAAAGTGCAGCAGGAACACTGTTAGATGTCTTATTTTTCTTTCGTGTTTCACGCAATTGACTGATGCTTACTTCTTGATGGCGTATTATTCCTGAATGGCAGCGAGAACAATACTCTGATCTCTTCATAGCTACCTCTTTAAAGTTCTTGAATGCTGACGCAAGAAAGGTTGATTTTCAGTTCATCTTTATACCTGAGCCAAGTTCTACCAACATTTCTATGACCACTATTGAGTTCCCTATAAAAAAGAACTTTTGGTATGCGATCATCACTCATCCTTGCCACATGGGTAGCTCAAAGTAGTTGTGATTGCATTATGAAGGTCTCGATGGTACAAATTTTGCATTTCTCAAAAAGGTCGTCAGTTGACACTCGATTATCAAACGTTAGATCACAGATTGTACGGGGAACTTTATGGAAGACATCTAATCGTTTAATGTGCCATCTATAAGGTGCCTATGTTTCAGAACCAAAAAAGAGTTGACAAAACGACAGCTCTGTACACTTGGATTTTAGTGCAAAGCTTTATTTCCCATTTCGTTCCATAACCTATGACGAAGCGAACCAAAGGAACCGCTGCCTTTTGCAATGCAATTAACAATCCCGTCATCAAGTGATGCACTTGAATTTACCATTCTCCCAAGGTATTTGAAAGATCCCGCATACTTGAGCTTCTTTCCATCAACTTGTAAAAGTACCTTTAATTAGCTTCGGTGTCGAGCAAGGTTGATGAACAACTTCAGTTTTCTTGATGCTGATTGGTAAGTCCGAGTGCCTTGCATGCCGCAGAAAACCGGTTGAGTAAATCTTGAGCTTCCTCTAAAGAGTTAGCTACAAGGACAACGGCAGTGTCGTCTGCAAAAAGTGGACCGCGTATAATACTGGTACGTAGAAGTGCTTTGGACTGATGGTTATACAGTCCTCCATTAGTTCGAAAATGAAATTTAACGCCAGGTTTTGTATCTCGAAAAGCATACCACCGCATCACCGAGAAGAACAGTGCAAACAGGCGCCACAACACAGCTTTTATATATATATATACATACATATATATATATATATATATATATATATATATATATATATATATATAATTGGGATCAAATATGAAGTTGGACTCAACAAAATGATGAGATAAGGAACGAAAAGAAAGGTTTATAAATTTGACAGGTTTTGATTTATTAGAAGCACTTTCGCCCCCAAAACATGTTAAATGTAGAAAGTTGCCGATCTGTTCCACATCCTATCTTATATATATATATATATATATATATATATATATATATATATATATAATATGAAAGGGATATTCTCGGAGATTCAGGCCGGTAAGTTTTGCTCATTCTGTTTATTACAAACTGAGCGTTTTCCTTAATATATATATATATAATCGACTCTCCTGTCGAGATTCGACGTATGAGGGTCAAGCAGATCAGTTTCCAGGAAACCGACAGCCCGACACCGGCACATGAGATTTGATTATAGTGGTGAAGGCCTCGTGCAGGACAATTCACACTTTTTGAAGGGACGAATACAGAGACCTGGTGCACCGAATGCCACAAGGTTCCCAAACGACCCTCCGCAGTTTTTGAATTCAGAGTTGTCCTTCTCCTAGACCAGTTGCAATCCAAGGCTATAGAACCCAGTCTGTTCTGCTATTTTACCCATAGCTGGAGGGAGAGGAAGAGGATTCATATCTTTTCCAAGGGTATTAGCACGTAAGTGAATATAATGGATTCGACTGGAATTCGAACTCGCCTCTGCGATTCCAAGCCGCTATCCATATATATATATATATATATATATATATATATATATATATATATATATATATATATATATATATATTACAATAAACGCAATCAATTTTAAAATACATGAATTATTCACACAAAACTAATGCAAAGGTTAATGATTTAAATGGCGAGATATCCATCTCGCAAACAATTCAAATAGTACACAAAAACCTCCAGATCCGTTATGAATGAATTGATGCTTGTTTATATAAATTTCTGCCGTATTAGTTGTTATTTTTTTACTACAAGCTTTCGTCTGTTCCTACAGACATCTTCAGGTATATAATAGATGTTGTTCTTTGTTTTTTTCTCTTAGTAATAAGAGGACATCGAAAATATATGTATTGTATCCGAAATGCTATTGAAAATGGAATGTTTATTGGTTTTGAACGCGCCAAAGCAACGTTGAGTTTGATTTTAAATATCTTTTATTAAAGTGTTTGCGTTTATACCAAATATGGTAATGAACAAATTATTTTACTGGTAAATTTTACTGTCAAAGTGGCATGAACGATATTGTTCAATAATTACAGTAATGTCGCACTTATTAACCAAAAGTCGCACATGGATCAGTTATTTAAATTACAATAAACGTGCAATCAATTTACAAATGCATGAATTATTCACACAAAACTAATGCAAAGGTTAATGATTTAAATGGCGAGATATCCATCACGCAAACAATTCAAATAGTACACAAAAACCTCCAGATCCGTTATGAATGAATTGATCCTTGTTTATATAAATTTCTGCCGTATTAGTTGTTATTTTTACTACAAGCTTTCGTCTGTTCCTACAGACATCTTCAGGTATATAATAGATGTTGTTCTTGTTTTTTCTCTTAGTAATAAGAGGACATCGAAAATATATGTGTATTGTATCCGAAATGCTATTGAAAATGAGATATTGGTTTTGAACGCGCCAAAGCAACGCTGAGTTTGATTTTAAATTTCTTTTTTAAAGTGTTTGCGTTTATACCAAATATGGTAATGAACAAATTATTTACTGGTAAATTTTACTGTCAAAATATATACCTGAAGATATCTGTAGGAACAGACGAAAGCTTGTAGTAAAAATAACAACTAATACGGCAGAAATTTATATAAACAAGGATCAATTCATTCATAACGGATCTGGAGGTTTTTTGTAATTATTTGAATTGTTTGCGAGATGGATGTCTCGCCATTTAAATCATTAACCTTTGCATTAGTTTTGTGTGAATAATTATATATATATATATATATATATATATATATATATATATATATACTGTAAAA